CTGAGAGAGGAAGCCCCATCTGTCCTGTGTGCTGATGTGTCCCTGGTGCCTAGAATCATTCCCAGTGCTGAGTGTCCATTCAACCAATATTTGTTAAATGGGAGCATGAATGATGAGTATGAGAAAGCTTGTGGTTTCTGAAGGGGACTTCAGGGGACATGTAGATAGTAGTATAAAAGTATATTAAGTGGGACAGATTTCTGTTTCCTTTGGGCCAGTATCTAGGGACAAAACCTGAGAATAAAAATACTCTGGTAGCACATCATGAAGATAACCTGAACAACTGAGAGCAGAGGCAGAGTTTCTCAGGAATTCTGGGGGAAGAGGCCCTGCTACCAAAACCAGCAATGATACCCCAAGAAAAAGACAACAGGAGAGAGTGCTATTTCTGGGATATTTGGAAGGAGCTGCTGCCTGTGACAGAGGAATTTCTTCCCTGGGGACAAGAGGGTGATTTCTCCTCTCTGAGCCCAAGGGAATATTGCTGTGAAAAGAAGGGTGCTGGCAAGGGTAAGAGACAGGGGCCTCTTTTACTGCTCAAGGAGAAAGCAATAGTTGGACTTCTGTGTTGTGTTAACCCGAGGGGACAGCAATAGGAGAAAGATGGCAAGGCGAAGCAGAGAGAATCGCTATGCAGCCAAGCATATTGGTACACGTGGGGTGTGAGGATGGAGAGCTTGGTGCATGGACCATAACCAGCATGGCGCCATCTGGAGCGTGCTCCACTAGCAGGCAGGGCTCCTGCTGTAGTGTGTGCCAGGGCAGGGCAGGGTCACTGCTTGCGGGCTGTGTCGCCGTGAAGGGTAAACAGGAGCTTGATCCCTCACCTGCAATGACTTGTGCTAAGAGTGTATCAGTGTTAACACAAGAAGCAAAGAAAACTATGCAGACAAAATTCATCTCTTCTTTCTTCAACACCCTAGGAGCAGGGTTTTGGGCTCAAGGGGGGAATAGGTGAGCAGAGGCAGATGATGGCTGCCACGCAGAGTGTCCCTGGAGGCACACCCAGCTGCACCAGGGAAAGGGATGACCTTTCTTATGCCAGGAGTTGAGCTCCGGGCCTCGCAATTGCCAGGCAGGTGCCCTGCCACTGGCTACATCCCTGGCCTGGATATGACTTTAAGTGGGACATAAGTTTGGAGTTTTAAGTCACACTGGACTTTTATAACTGAAAGGGACAAGAACTCAGAGGATCTAGCTCAAATGTTATTGAGAGACAGGAAAAAGGCTTTTAACAGAGCATGGTTGAAGGCAGTAACTGGAAAAAGAAATAGATGAAGCCATTTCATTTTCAGTGCTAAACTATCTGATCACTTAAGCACAGCAAGGGGAAAAGGCAATTTGGTAGACTATTAGCAAGTTTTCCAAACATTTGTCTTCTCTTTGGCTGACACATTGCTGACTTTTGTCAGAAGGGAAAGCCGCAGGACAGTTGGCAAAAAATGCAATATTCAAGTCATAGAATCTACATGCAAGGCTCAGTCTTACTCTTTCTTCATGAAGTCACCCTCTGCCTCACACCTAATTTTATGCGTCAAGAGAAGAAAAGACTGAAAACTACTGGTTTTTTTTGAGATAAGGTCTTGCTATGTCATTCAAGGTGGCCTTGAACTCACTATGTATCCCTGGCTGGCCCCTGCCTCAGCGATCCTCCTTCCTTCCTCAGCTTCCCAAGTACTAGGATTATAGACGTGTACTGCCATGCCTGGCCCTTGAAAACTAACTTTTGATTTATTTGTTTGTCCTTTTGAGACAGGGTCTTTCTGTGCAGTTCAGGGTGGCCTTGAGCTCACTTTGTAGCCTAGACTGGTCTTGAACTCACAATGATCCTCCTGCCTCAGACTCCCAAGTGCTGGGATTACAGGCATGTGTCACTGTGCCCTGCCTGAAAACTACTTTTTGAAAATTATGTTTCTATACAGTAGTTCCAGAACTTGTTTTAGTCCTTTGGGTAAACCATTTACAAACTTTCAAAGACATTTCTTCCTACAACTGAGTGGCTAGATGGCTCCCTATTCCTTCCTCCCTTGACCTGACCAGGAAAACTTCTCAGCACCTGTCTGCAATCCTTGGAAGGCACTACCTGTGGCAGGGGAAGCTGCGATCAGGGAGGACTCACGAAGATGACATTAAGAAACCACTGCCAGGAGAAGCACCGCTTGGTTGTTGATAATGGGGGACAGAGCTATTTGAGAAATAAATGAGAGTTAAGTTGGAAGTTAAGCATATAGCTTTGCATTTTACACACTCATTGGGCCCTTTAAAACTAATTTTTGATTTATTTCATACCCAAAAAAGGGACACATTTCTTTTTTTTATTTAGCACAGGGTCTACAGGGTCTCACTACATAGATCTGACTCGTAATGATTCACCTGTGTTCAGCCTCCCAAGTGCTGGGATTACAAGTGGGCACCACCATGCCCAGTCTCAATCTCCCTCTCAGTGCGTTCCAGGGGTGGGGCCAGTACACCGGAGATGGAACCCGGCTGCTGCCTCTGCCAAAGTAGGCACTTTAATCCCCTGAGCTATTTGGCTGGCCCCAGGACACATTTCTTGAAAGGAGAAAGTACACTTTTAAAAAAGTGTAAATAGGATTGGGGAGATAGCTCTACTCCATTGCAAATGCAAGGACCTGGGTTTAAGCCCTGGTACTCCATGCTGCCCCAGAACCAGGCGTGGTGGCACCTGCCTATAATCCCAGCACTGGGGAGGCTAAGATAGGAGGATCACTGTGTGTCTGAGCTGCGTAGTGAGTCCCTATATCAATATATGTATTTTAAAAAGTGTAAATAAGGACCAAAATCTATAATACATATTGTGAAACATGAAGAAGATATGCAAATTGGAAGGAGAACTAGGGAAGGGAAAGGGAAGATAAAGGGAGGAAAATTAAAAATTGATGAGGAAAGAAGGAAAGCTTTTTTTTTTTTTTTTTCAGAACCAGGGATTGAACTCAGGCCCTTGTGCTTGCCAGGGAAGCACTTATTCTACTGAGCCATCTCCCTGGCCCCTAGGAAAGCTTTTGTAAATAAGGAGGGGGAAAGGGTTGAAGCAGGGAGGAGAATGGGGGAAAAAGAAATGATGTGCAGGAGCAAGTTCCCTATGATAAAATGGGGAAAAACTTCAAAACAAAGAGAAACTGGGATGGGGAAAAGGAGAAGAGAATGAAGGAAAAGGCAAAAAGCGTATATAGATCAGATAAGTATATTACTATTTTCTCTTAGTTTATTGAAAAGAAAGATTTGTTCGAATATTGTTTGGACAATTAAATGCTTATATCTTACATTATCAGTAACTATGTTAGAGATATTATGCAATGTTTTAACCATTGTTACTCTCCTACTATCTTGTTTTTTAATTTTATTTTAGTTTTTTTCTCTTTAAAATTGAAAAGTGGTCAAAAAAATAAGCATTGACTATTCCTTACAATAAACCAATATATAAATTAGTAGTACCATTGTCATAGCTATCCTGTGTGTGTGTGTGTGTGTGTGTGTGTGTAGGTGTATGTGTACATATTTTTCCTTCCTTCTTGTTTTTCTTCTTTCCTTAACAGCTTTTTTCACTTTCACAGCATCTGTGTGCCTTTCACATTTTATTTATTCTTTCAGCTTCTTACACTAGGGAGACAATATCTGGTAATTTAAACAACTACTTTTTTAATATTTTATTTTAAGGAGTAAAAACAACAGCAAAAAACAAATAACAAAAACAGAAACAGTAATGTACAACAATACATATGGTACCTATTTTCAAAACAAGAATAGCAAATTAATAATGGTTATTATATTACATATTTTTATTGTCCACTCTGTTGCTCAGATTAACAGATATAGCTTTGCAAGATTGGATGAATAATTGAACTTTAACACTTGCTTTCAATAAACCTTAATAGTTTTTTTTCTTGACCTTTTACTTTATTTTTAAATTTATTTTAAAGAAAGTATAATAATAATTGATAAGATATTAGAAATAGTACACATTCAGAAGAACAAAATGCGCAGTGTTCAACCATGGTGTCTATATTGTACATTGCTACCTTTGATGTAGTTGCTCAGATTGCAGATATTAGAATATAGAGTTAGTCAAAGTGAAAAATTTAAATATTAACTGCTATTTTCAAAAAACTGATGGAGATTATTAATACAATCATCTCAGCCATCTTTTGTATATACTTGCATGACTTACCCCCTTTCTTTTTTTCTATCTTTTCTCCTTTCCCTCATCTTCATTATTTATTCCTTATGTTCAGTTTCTTTCCATTATACTGTATCTATTATACCTTTCAGATTTTATTTATTCTCTCAGGTTCTTCACTAGGGAGACAATAGATATTTACCATGTGAGTCTGATTCATTTCACTTATGAGCATAACCTCTAATTGTATCCATTTACCTATAAAGACATCAAATTTGTCTTTCTTTATAGCTGAGTAATACTCTACTGTATAAAAATGCCACATCTATTTTATCCATTGCTCAGGTGATGGGTATTTTGGTTGTTTCCAAGCTTTGGCTATGACAAATTGTGCTGCTATAAACATGGGTGCACATATATCACTATGGTATGATGTTTTCAGTTCTCTTGGGAAAATACATAGAAGGCGAATAGCTGGACTGAATGGAATTTCCAGCCCTAGTTTTTTGAGGAATCTCTGCACTGATTTCCCTAGTGGTTGTACCAGTCTCAATTCTCAACAACAGTGGAGAAGGAAGGGTTCCTTTTTCCCCCACAGCCTCTCCAGAATTTGTTACTAGTAGATTTCTTTATGATAGCCATTCTTTCTGGGGTGAGATGGTATCTCAGTGTCATTTTAATTTGCATTTCTCAAATGACCAGTGATGTGGAACATTTTTTCATGTATTTATTTGCCATTTATATTTCTTCATCTGAGAAGTATGTATTCACTTCAGATGTCCATTTTTGAATGGGGTCTTTGAATTTTGGAGGCCTGATTTTTTTTAGTTCTTCATATATTCTAGATAGAAGACCTTTGAAAAAAAACATGGAACACTGTTCACAAATTTGCATTTCATCCTTGCACAGGGCCATGCTGATCGTCTCTGTATCATTCCAATTTTAGTATATGTGCTACCAGTGTGAGCACAAAATAAGCACTTTGAAGATAACAATATGCAGCATAACAACTACTGTTGATTTTCTATCATCACGTGTTGTTTTGCTTTGTTTTGTTTTTTATGTATTTGGTACAGGGTCTCACTACGCAGCTCGGACTCATAGTGATCCTCCTGTTTTCAGCTTCCCTAGTGCTGGGATTACAGGCTTGAGCTACCATGCTGGGATTCAGTTGCTGGCTCAGCACATCCCGGGGGCAGGGCTAGTGCGGCACGCGGTACCAGGGATCAAACCCTGGTCCCTGTGCTTGCTTAAGCAGGTGCTTCGTCTGCTGAGCTATCTCACTGGCCCCTATCATCGTGTTTTGAAATTCTGAATCATTTTTAATGTTTTATTCTTATTTTTTAGTCTCTTTAAAATAAAATATCAGGGGCCAGGGAGATGGCTTAGTAGAATAAGTGCTTGCCTGGCAAGCGTAAGGGTCTGAATTCAATCCCTGGTTCCACTAAAAAAA